GGAAGGTACCATTGGAAGCATATAGAGCACAATTTGAGCTCCTGGCAGAAATGAATGGATGGACAGAGGAGCAGAAAGCAGTGTACTTGGCAACGAGCCTAAAGGGACAACCACAGGCACAACTATAGAGCACTGGTAGCTGCTCCAGAACTCAGGTATGGAACTCAAAATCAGTCCAAAGTCTACAGGGCTAGGTTTAAGACTAGAGTCCATGCTAAAGGGGAGAGCCTGGAAAAGCTGGCACAGGATTTGGAAAGAATGGCACACAAGACCTACTCAACTGCATCACCAGATGTCCTCAAGCTCTTACTGAGGGATCAGTTTGTAGATGCCTTGGACAGTCCACAACTGAAGATACAAGTCAATCACACCCCTCTACTATGCAGGTTGCAATGGCCAGAGCTCTTGAATTCGAATCCTACGTTAAGTCCAGCGCATAAGTACCAAGGTTGGTACAGTCATCTGGATTCAAGTCTAGAAAAGGGCAGCTCTTAGAAAAGTTTGATGGATTTTGCTGGTACTGTAACAACCCTGGGCACAAGAGAGCTCAATGCTGGCAACTTCAACACAGAGAAGATGCCACGGCAGCAAAGGCTGCTACCCAGAAAGGTTGTTGGAACTGTATAGTAAGGACATATGAGGAGCAAGTGTAAAAAAAATACTACCAATAAGTCAGCTTCGGGAAACCAGTAGTGGTTGGTGCTGAGGGATGTCCAACAATCCTCACTGTGAAAGTCTCAACAGTTAAGTGTCAAATGGCAAGCACACATAGTGTCTACATGACAGGAAAGCTGCTTGGCCAGAAGTGCAACTTTGTCATGTATTCTGCATCTCAGAAAATCCTTGTGAGCATCAAGGTGCTAGATCACAATGGAGTACCAGAAACCATACAGAAGCTCTGTGGTGTGACAGGACAGTATGCAAGGTTGTGGGGACCAGTGTGGGTAACTATTGAGCTCATGGGCATAAAGGACAGATACAAAGTATACTTGGCTGACATTG